ATAGCAGGCCTTAGGACTGAATTTGGACACCACTGTTTTAGAAATTTGCATAAAATTCCACAAATGTGAGAAACTAAGTGCAGATATTGTTGGTAGTACATTTTTATTAAAGCTTTAATTATTGCCATGTGGCACAAGTTGTTATATAGATTTAACTTTAAACCTCTATTCTATAGTGAAATTGTGAGGAGAATCAAGACTCTCCTGTTTTCGTTTGGCTTATTTTTAAATAAGAAATAAATAAATTAAATAAATAAAAAAAAAATTTATACTGAAGTTCTTTACAAGTGATTTAGTATTGGTAGCAGAGTGGCTCTTTGCATCAATACATTAAGTGGTTTCTGAAAGTTACAAGGTTCTTTAAAATTACTCTTAATATTAGACAGAAATGTACTGATATTAGAAAATTGTATTTGTATTTTTGAATACTTAAACACTTTTAAATGCATGTACTTTTGAATACTTCAGTATTTTCAAAAGTGAGGACTTTAATACTTTAACTTGAGTTTATGTTTGACTGAGTAACTTGTAGTTGAGTCAGATCTGACTATGAGTATCAGTACTTGTATACCTTATTATGTTGAATTTAACTTTGAATGCCCAAACTATGCCAAATGCGCCAAAATGTGCACCATTTTTAGAATAAAGTACAAATTCTCTATAGCAACATTTTACATAATTAAACGAATGGCTCAATTTAGGTGATTTCCTTCTAAATCAATAAAAGTCCTCTTTCTGAGGCTCTTAGCCACATTAAAGGAGTCCTTGAAGCTTTGGAGGTAATCCTAGTGAGTTTTAAAGGAGATCTGATGATGAAGGTAAAGGGTTTTAACCCACAGAACACGATGCAATCCCACATCTGATAGCAGGAAACCACACAAAGCATGACCTATGAAAAGAAAACGACAACAAAACTATGCACTGACAAATCCAGGAGATAACCCTACTGGGTAACTACAATGACATACCTCGGCTCACCGCTGTTGGTGTTTTAGACATGACTGGGCATCACACTGGATGGAAATTTCATCAACATGAAAGAAGTATGCAGAAAACCCCAGCTCTAATGACAACAAAACAAAAGCAACACTCCTTTATCTGTGCAAATAGTGAATGGAACCTATAGTCACTTCTTTATCCTTTACTCCCCTGTCTCCTCTTTGTTGAAAACCCTGTGTGCGTGTGTGTGTGTGCTTTTTTTTTGTTGTTCCTTCATGTCTTGAGTCATTTCCCTTTGAAAAGTCCACATGCCATCTCTGAAAGCACTGCCTCCTTCAGCTGGAGCTCCGGCGGGTGTCTGTTGTCTGTGAGGGCTTTCTCGTGTGCGGGAGAGGACTCAGAAACAAAAGAAGGAGCACGTTCTGACAAGTTTTGTATCACGAATAGAAGAACTGTGAGAATTTTGTTAGAAACCCAGGGCACCCTCACCTCCTGCATTAACACTGACCTTAATTCAGGACGTCCTGAACAAACACAAAAGATCTTTTAAAATGATGACAAGCTAGATACTTTCAAATATAAAACTGTTAAGAAGAACCTGTCCCTTTACATCTTTTTTTTCTTTTAAAGATACAACTAAAACTCAATTGTATTGGAATTTTATGAGATTGATCAAGACAAAGTAGTGCATAAATATAACTTAGACATTAGATGGGTTTCAGCTACCTTTTTTTCCTTCTTTTTTTTAACAATGAAATGATGGAAGGTTTAAGTGTTTTTGTGTTCATTCCCTTGCATAAGGACTTTGTGGAAGATTCTTTCCCTCCCATGACACCTCCAACTCTTTCATCTTTGCAAAATTGCTGAATGTGAATGTTTATATTTTTGGTCTGGCCACTTGATTTCAGTTATAAGTCTGTATTTTGATGGTGCTGGTCAAATACCATCTAAACCATTCATCTGTAGCTCTGCAGTATGTTTCCAATTCTTTTTCTACTGGGAGAACCAGCTCTGCACAAATTTTGCATCTTTTGCAACATCTATCAGGTTTTGCTTTGGTATTTTTTTATATTTAGTTCCATCCAACATTCCATAAACTCATAATTTTCCCTGCCTGCATTAAAATGCCACCCCCACAGAATTGTACTGCAACCACTCTGCTTTCATGAAGTGTTTTGCACGCTGACTAAACTGTTTTAGTTGTCTCTGATCTGATCTGACCAGTGCATATTGTGTCTACTGTGTCCCTCATGTAGGAAACTGGCTGCATGGCTTTGTATGACTTCCTTTCAGCAGTCAATTTCTTTTTACCACCTCTCCATGAAGAAGTGATTTGTTTGTGCATGACAAATGTTGTCGTTTCTGACAGACTCCATGCAGCTCCTTTAGGGTGACCATGGGCCTCAAGATTGCATGTCTGACGTTGTTACTGCTCAGACCTAGAATACGCAGATGGAGGCCTTTTCTCTCTATGTTTACAGTTGTGCCAAACTCATTTCTGGATGATTTTGTGAAAATAAAGTGTTTAAAACATTAAGGTTGTAATTTTTAAACTAAGTCCTGAATCAACAGCTCACTTCCCTGCTGTCTTGGTCTTCATGATGATGAGGATTGTTCAGACCTCTACATAAAAGGCTACTAAGATTAAATTACTATTGTAGTAGGTTTTTACAAGGTGGTTTGTGAAGGCAACGGGCTGCACTGAACTTTATTCTGGACCATAACAGTAAATGTGACGGGGGAAAAAATCTGACATACTTTTAAAAAGGAAAAAAAAAAGCTTTTTTTGTTTTCTTTTCACATCAAACATTATGTACTACTTTGTGTTGATCTACGATTCAAATATTGGAGTTTGCAGTTCTAACACAGTATAAAGCAGAAAAGTTAACTTGGTATGAATACTCCTTCAGTGCATAATAGATATCGGATAACAGGAGTCCAAAATGAATGCAAAGCTTTGTGATAATTAAAAAAACAGGCCTGTCAATCATTCCTGTGTATTATGGTCACTTATTAGCATGCAACAGGTTGTGTATTCAGATTTATCCCAAACCGCAGTTACCATAATCCTCTTCGTCTGGCAAATGAGAAATGGGGGTGAGGACTAAGAGTGAAATTGCCTTGGTAAAGAACTGTGTACATTCTAATGAGTGTTGGCAAAGCAGCCTAATAAAGATGACAGCACACATTCATATGCATTCATTTGTGTGCTCAGCTTGACGAAGTCTGCCCCGCAGGCTTAACAAAGGGGAGGAAGGAAGCCAGGGGGGGGATATGGGCTCTGGAGAATGATTGGGCAAAGGGGGGAGACGTCCTGAGGTCTCTCTAGACTGAGGCAGTGACAGCTGGGCCAGCATGCTCTTCATGGGCTCTTTCTCTCTTCAGCACCTCCACAACAACAGCCAGACTGTGCGACACACAAACACAGGATGCTCCATCCTGTTTACTGTTTACATTTCACAGAGGCTAGCCAACTTGGGAGGGCTACCACAGTGTGATTACAGGCATTGCAGCTGTCTGTGAGGTAGCAGTTTGTTTTTACTGACTGCTTCTCTTATTTATCACACCTCTTCAATACTTCTTAAACTTATTATTTTGTAGGAAACTCTAACAGCAGCAGAGAAAAGTAAAGTTGTCTAACAAGCAATGTAATTATCCAGAGCCTGCAAGCAGTAGAAAGATGCTTTGAGGTTTCAATTAGTTTTCAGAAGCAAGCAAACAAAAGATTTCTGCAAGAATTCACTTTAATGTGAGCTTTCAGTCACAAAGACCTTCGCTTTGATAAAAAAAAGATCCTTCTGACTGAAATGTTACACAGATCAAGTGTCCTGAAACCTATTGTTTGCTCCTAGACTATTTTTGGCTTCCAGCACCTTTACCAAGACACATCCAAGAAGAGTAGCAGACCGGCTACAGAGTCTAGTTTTCAGAAAATAAGCAAAGAAGGTATTTAAAGAAAAAGAACAGTTTGGTTAAGGGTGATCTGATGGTCACATCTGTTGGAAGAAATAAAAGGTCAGTGTGGTCCACAACAATAAGATCATTACCGAGCCAAAAGGCACACATGTTTTGTTAGAGGGAGGCCTGGAGACACAAGGGCAGCTGAACAATGCAGGTCAAACAGGAGCTGATATTTATCTTACAGAAATAAGCTGCTCTTCATGAATTTAAGGTTTACTTTTTTTTATTTCAGGTAAAGAGTTTTAATACTCGAATACAGATATTACACGCGGAGGGGGGGTATTATTATTTTCAGCTAATCTAATTTTAAAGGTCCTCAACCACGGCTTTGAGTGCATAACATGGCAAATAAAAAAATAAAAACAGCAGTACCACTTAGTGACCAGCAGAGGGCGCTCTTGATGTGGTAACGCATGTCAAGTGGGTAGCTCAGTATAACTAAAGTTAAAAAGTTACAAGCCAAAATTGAGTTATGAATTTTATTCATGAATTTCTGTTTTAATGGGTTAGACCTGGGTACCAACTGGCTTTTATTTTCAGGGCGAAGCAAAGTTTAGATGATTCCCAAATTACTAAGCCTAAACATCTGTTCAGGCCAAAGAGCCAAGTGTATGACTTGGAGCAAATTTTCTTCCTAAATCATTTCATGTATACTGTGTATGTTATGCAGAGAGGCTTAGCCCGAAAAATAATAAATTAACTATTTATTTTACCTTTTGTCTTCCAGATTAAGGTTACAATTAATTGTGTAACCCTATATATATATATATATATATATATATATATATATATATATATATATATATATATATATATATATATTTTTTTTTTTTTTTTTTTTTTTTTTTTTTTTTTTTTTTTTTTTTTTTTTTTCCCTTTTTTTTTTTTTTTTTTTTTTTTTTTTTTTTTTTTTTCCCCCAAGGTCCTACATTTGGGTAACAGTTTCCTTTTATAGTCAATGCTTGTGGTCCACTTTTTCATACGTTCTGTAAATACCCCAATTTTCCAAAACATTATTTCCAACATAGTTCAGTCTGCTTTAGCAGAGGAGCGAAAGGAAAACATATCAAAACATCCTCCGCGTGGACAGAGCGGTAGTGTTGGTCACGTGACAGGTACAGGAAGCGTCCTTTAAAGGTACTTCAGGCAGCTCGTGGCAGGTTCGTTTGCTTATTTTTACGTATATTTCAGTCCCATTGAAAAATATTCATTCGTGTCTTTGTATCAACGCCAATTCGACGTCGTCTTTTACATATTCGGTAGAACAGGGTTGTGTCTGGCGTTAGCAGCGGAAGTGGAGTTTGACAGCTAGCAGGTGGAATCCAGTGACAAACGTGTTACTCGCTCTTTATCTGTTAATGTTTACCTTTTGACACATAGGCACCCAGCTTTTCACTAGATAAACCAGTTAAAACTTCGTTCAGTGTTTTTGGTTACGACTGTACGTCCGGTTTGTTAATTGTAAAAAAAAAAAAAGTTTTTGTACTCCTTGGTTTAATATTTGTACATGGCAAATACCGTCTTTAGAAAATATATATTAAAAGGGTTGGAACCGGAAACAGTCTCCAAACGGTAAACGATGTTTATTTAGAGCTGATGTCACCAGTAGCAGGAGAGGATAAGATTATTCAGGGGACATAATTCAACACAACGTGAGCCGCAGGGACGTCAGTAGGAGAGCAATGGAAAGGGGCCCCCAGCCCTTCTCTAATAAACCTAACACGCAGGGCCGTAACCAGGATTTTTAAAATACCGAGGTCAAGTATTGCGATAAATCTTACCTCACAAAAAAACATCCTAACATGGCAACTTTTTAAAATACATTTTAGAAACGTGAATAAAGAGAGTTAAATCACAAGCCCATCAAGGAGGTGAATATGAACATGTTTATTATAACAATTCCAAAACTCACAAAATTAGAGTGAGTGAGAATGACTGTGAGTGAATGAGTGATTAAATTATTTTGCTCCATTTTGAAATAGCCTAAGCAGAAATCTTTATTCTTCATAATTTACCATGAGCAACACAACTAACTAACCTCAAAAACAATGTTGTATACACAGGCTGTTAGATTAGGCCTAGGCTACCTTAGTTTTCCCCATGTGAATCAATAGTTTTGAAATAGCCGAAGCAGAAATCTGTATTCTTCATAATGAGCATCCTATTCCTAGCCATGCTTTGAATGATATATTTACTGGCGAAATGAACTCACCTCCTTCTCTCTTTCTTTTCCCCTGACCTGTTGGCTTTCCAAAGCTAAGCTTAGTTTGTTTCGGCGTAGATTTCTTCATCTTGCCTCCATTTCCAGATTTCACTATAAACTGGTTGCCTGTTCTATCTCGTGGTGTTCAGAACGTGGGCAGCTGACTTTTGCAAAGGAGCTGCGTAATATGATAGAATGAAATGTCAGATGCAATTTCCGCTCAGTTTTAAAATAAATTGATTTTATGTGATTGTGATGAGAATGTATGCTGATCTTTACACAAATCAAAGTCAGAACAATTTTGATCATATAGTTTATTTCTCTGAATAAAAAAAAATAAACAGGAAAATCAGAATCAGTTTTATTGCCATTGTTAGTGAAGGAGTTCACAAACTAGGAATTTTTTATGGTACAATCGTGCAACATGAAACATATAATATGGAAAAGGTAAATAAAATTATAAAAATCTTTAGAAACACTGTGGGTATAAGGCATGCAAAAAATAGACTAATATATACACTTAGGATAAAAATATGGATAAAAAATATAAAAAGTAAAAAAAAAAAAATACCAAGGATATGACCTCAATGTACTTAATGATGGTTACGGGGCTGCTAACATGGGTTCAGTTTAATTTGCATTAATGCTGGGGATGATTACCAACTTTTTTTTTATGAAGAAAACTGACTGCAGTTTTAAATTTGTGAAAAAAGTAATGAGTTAATCATCTTTTTTCAGACAATAGTTTGTCATTTGCATTGTTTATTTTTTACCAAACCAAGTACTAATTTCAAACAGGGGATACTTAATTAGTAGGTTCCTATTTATCAGTTTTATTATGGAGCTGTAGGTTAACAGAACCATGAATAAACCTGCGTCTAAAAGATGGTTGTTGTTTTTCCTGATTATCTGTGATGTCAGAATTGTAAGAGAACAGGAACCAGCAGGGGATACAGGTTAATGTTGTGTTTTTACTCTCACTGCACTGCAGGGACTGTACAGGAGCCTTTCAATGCACATACTGTGAGATGAACAAACGTATAACTAACTGATTAAAAACCCAAATTTGTGATGCTGGGTTGATGTAGTGAAGAATTATGACACTGTAAAGTTCAAACTCAGCCATTCAAAGGGCCCTTTTTGAATATTGTACTTAACTGAGGGCCAACGATTTGGTTGTTAGTCGCAGAAGATTCTAGTGAATCATTGGGCTTATTAGTTTCAGTCATGAGAGAAAACCTATATGATCCCTGAAGCTATAATGGAGCGTATTTTGTGTAGCTCGTTCAAACGGAACCAAACGCAAATAAAGTCATTATTAATTATTTAAAATGTTTTATTATTGATTTATTTCTGTCATTTACAATTCACCTAATAAAACACTGTATATACACTCACCGGCCACTTTATTAGGTACCCCATGCTAGTAACGGTTTGGACCCCCTTTTGCCTTGAGAACTGCCTCAATTCTTGGTGGCATAGATTCAACAAGGTGCTGGAAGCATTCCTCAGGGAGTTTGGTCCATATTGACATGATGGCATCACACAGATTTGTCGGCTGCACATCCATGATGCGAATCTCCCGTTCCACCACATCCCAAAGATTCTCTATTGGATTGAGATCTGGTGACTGTGGAGGCCATTTGAGTACAGTGAACTCATTGTCATGTTCAAGAAACCAGTCTGAGATGATTCCAGCTTTATGACATGGCGCATTATCTTGCTGAAAGTAGCCATCAGAAGTTGGGTACATTGTGGTCATAAAGGGATGGACATGGTCAGCAACAATACTCAGGTAGGCTGTGGCGTTGCAACGATGCTCAATTGGTACCAAGGGGCCCAAAGAGTGCCAAGAAAATATTCCCCACACCATGACACCACCACCACCAGCCTGAACCGTTGATACAAGGCAGGATGGATCCATGCTTTCATGTTGAGGACGCCAAATTCTGACCCTACCATCCGAATGTCGCAGCAGAAATCGAGACTCATCAGACCAAGCAACGTTTTTCCAATCTTCTATTGTCCAATTTCGATGAGCTTGTGCAAATTGTAGCCTCAGTTTCCTGTTCTTAGCTGAAAGGAGTGGCACCCGGTGTGGTCTTCTGCTGCTGTAGCCCATCTGCCTCAAAGTTCGACGTACTGTGCGTTCAGAGATGCTCTTCTGCCCACCTTGGTTGTAACGGGTGGTTATTTGAGTCACTGTTGCCCTTCTATCAGCTCCAACCAGTCTGGCCATTCTCCTCTGACCTCTGGCATCAACAAGGCATTTCCGCCCACACATCTGCCGCTCACTGGATGTTTTTTCTTTTTCGGACCATTCTCTGTAAACCCTAGAGATGGTTGTGCGTGAAAATCCCAGTAGATCAGCAGTTTCTGAAATACTCAGACCAGCCCTTCTGGCACCAACAATCATGCCACGTTCAAATTCACTCAAATCACCTTTCTTCCCAGTACTGATGCTCGGTTTGAACTGCAGGAGATTGTCTTGACCATGTCTACATGCCTAAATGCACTGAGTTGCCGCCATGTGATTGGCTGCTTAGAAATTAAGTGTTAACGAGCAGTTGGACAGGTGTACCTAATAAAGTGGCCGGTGAGTGTAGATTATATAAATGATCACATCCTGATGGTTGGATTTTTTTCACTTTTGCTCAGGTCAAATTTAATGATTTTTCTTTAGGTACTGAAAGTATAATATATGAATTTTTAGATTATTTTGATATTTACTTTTAATGTTAATCTGGGGGTGTGTTTTGTTTTTCTTGTGCTTTGTCACTTAAAAAGTTTCATAAAAAATGTTTTTTTTGAAGAATTTACTCCCCCATGTTGAGCAATGTGCAGAAAGGACATAAACACACTGCTGCTTTTAAAGAGAAATGTATTTTAGCTGTGTGGCATTTTAATTTAGTGTTTTTACTAGTTGAAAAGAATAAATTTTTGTGAATCCCGGCCTATATTTAGTGGCTGATAAGGCTGCCTTGTAGTGCGGCCTTTGCTGTTTGCATTGCAGCAGCGCAAACATTGCGATCAGCTGCAGGGATTCCAGATGTTTAACTCAGCCATAAAGTCAGCTTCATCCTGTAGGCATCCTATGTACTGTTTAGTTTTCAGTCTCCCTTGAGATAACCCTCAATGGATCAACTTGGGATCAAACATTTGTTTTTTATTTCCTACATTTATTTTATTTAAAGCTCACAGATCCAACAGTGTTGCAATAGGACATTAAAAAGTTTTGTAAAATTCAAAATCTTATTCTTACATCCATCTCTCCCTATGTAAAATAATTTATTAAGATTTAAAATGCCTGATTATCTAATTTTGATCTGAAAAAGACCCTTTTAAAGTCATGTAAGTTTTCATTTGTTTATGATTGTATTTCATTGTGATCTATTTTAAGCAACATCTTTATCCTTTTTAGTGTTTTTATTTCATTCTAGTTGGAACAAGATTAGAACCTTTGAACTGATTGCTTTCTAGAAATTATTTTCAATGAGTCCTCATCAAAAAGAATAGAATAATATTCAACATTATGTGACACTATTCATACAGTCAGAAATAAAAAGTTAAAAGATGTTATTCAATAAAAACAAAGTTCAGGCAAATGTTAGTATTTGTGTTTAAAGATTCAAACCACGTAATCACAGCCAATCAACCTGCATCCATTTATCCAGTTCTGTCCGAGGTTACAAGCTTGTTTCATGACCCATTGCATTTATTCGCACAGAAGAACAATGTCTGTGTGATATTGGTTTATTATAGACCTTCTGATAGTTTTAATAGCTGGCAACCACATCCCTTCACATAATGTTTTCTTCTTATTTTAATCGAGATATTCATTTTTTTTTTTTGTTGATATTTTTCTGTCTCAATAGAGGGCTTTCATCCCTTGCAAAATCATCAGTAAGTGGGCAGGATTTTCCCAGAATAAACAACCAGTCCAAGTCTTAGACTGGAAGCTCAACGCCCCTGAGCAAAGAGCAAAAGTCCACACCCCTGGCTTGCACTGCTGCACTGGATCAATGCCTCTCAGGGAACTTGGAAAGACGAGAAGCGGTGACTTTGCTGAGTAAATCATCAATCGTTGCATTTAAATCTGATGTATCTTGGGTATGTTGGTATTTATAACAGCTGCTTTTGTGTTTTCTAAAAAGCTTTTGCTTCACTAATGCATTCAATGAGTAAATTTGTGTTTGCAGGAGTTGACTTTAATCTTCATATTAATGTTTATGTTTAAGCAGGAACTTGCTCATTGAATTTTGACTAATCTCTCTGCCATCCAGGATTTGTGGACAGATAAGACCAGAAGATGTCTTTAACAGTCTGGCTGCTTCTTGTCGCTCTGTGTGCCAGCGGAGGATATGGTGAGGAGGAAAAAGAGGCCCCCAGAAGTGGCCATGTTTCTGTGGTCATAGTCGGAGGAACAGGAGACCTGGCCAGGAAGTATCTGTGGCAAGGATTCTTCCAGCTGTACGTCGACCAGGTCAGCGGCGGAAACACCTTTTCCTTCTATGGTGCAGGCTTGTCCCCAGCCGAAAAGGCCACACCGGTGCTTTTTGAGATCCTGAAGGCAGTCACCTGCTCCAAGGATGTGTCCCAGGATCGCTGCGCCATCCTGAAAGATCAGTTCCTGCGGCTCTCGCAGTATCGCCAGCTGAAAACTTTGGAGGACTACCAGGAGTTGGCCAAGCACATCGAGCAGCAGCTCCAACAGGAGGGAATGACGGAAGCTGGTCGGCTCTTTTACCTCTCTGTTCCAGCTTTTGCGTATGCAGGTGCTGCAGAGAAGATCAATAGTAGCTGCAGACCGACCGGTGGGCCGTGGCTGAGAGTCGTACTGGAGAAACCATTTGGACACGACTACAGGAGCGCACAGGTGTTAGCAACGGAACTACTGAGTGCACTAAAGGATGAAGAGATGTACAGGATAGACCACTACTTAGGAAAGCAGGTAAGAAAAGATGAAACACACCTCTTTAATATCCTACCTGACAGTTTGGGTGTTACATTCTTTTGCTCTTCCTTTCATAAAAAAGGTGGTGTCTAAGATACTTCCATTCAGGATAGAGAACAGAAAGTTTTTGGATCCCATCTGGAACCGGCATCACATCGAGAGGATAGAGATTGTTTTGAAAGAAACTCTGGATGTTAAAGGTGATCAAAGGTTTTCTTCACTTTGGTTTAAATAATGTCACCATAGGTAGGTTTTTACAGCACCTTTCTAGCTTTTTGGCAGCCAAATTAGAAAACAAAAATAATCCCTCAGTAGAATAATGATCAAAAAACACCAAATCGACACCAAAATGTTTTCCCTGACTAAAAGCCAGCCTTTCTCCACGTCCATCTTGGTATGAGACCTAAATCCTGTAGAAGTCCTGCAGTGTGACCTCCGGTGGAGAGGCTGGCGGAGAACCCAGGATGTAGAGATTTTGTAAAAGCAATTCCCTCTTTCTCTCTTATTTACCCCACTGATTGAACACATTCATTTTAAAGGTTTATTTTGTTTTTGGAGGGGAGAAAAATACATTTTAGAGGATCTAACATGAACAGACATCAAAATTTTCCAGAACATTGGGTGTCATACTAGAAGGGAGAAATTAATGAATGGTTAAAACCTTTTGCGTATAGAAAATTTGTAAATGTTGACTCACACCGAGGCCAGTCACCCCTTCCTAATTGCTCCCATAAACGACTAAACAGTGGCTATAAAGGTGGACACCTTTGTCGTCTGTTGTCATGGCAACAATGCAAAATCCAGAGAGTCTTCAGATAGGGACATCTGGTTAGAGTTTATATCCTGAGAGGAATAGTTATTCTCTTGGATCAGATGACCTGTAGAGGGAATGATTCATGAATTGTCACCTTGACTGTTGAAGTGACCGGTGGTTTTGGGGGATTTTGCATAGATAACGGATTTAAAAGTATAAAAATATGATCTGGATATTTTAAAGTGGTGTGATTTCTGTCGAGCTACCTTATCAGAGTCAGTGGGTGGATCCAACCACTAAATTCCACTGGATTGGTCTGAAGCTTAGTGGGATGTTGGATGATATTTTTTACGAGCCACACTGACAGTTATTGAGTATGAGCTTTTTACACTGACGATAAAATAATAAAACATGCTAATGTTTGTAGTTATAACAAATGAAATATTTTTCTTTTTTACTTTTTCCTCATTTAACTGTTGTAACTTGACCACCTTAAATAGGCTAACTAACAAAAGCTACAAGATGATCAGGATTTTCTCTAAATGAAACTCTATAACCGATCGTGTGTGTTTAGTTTGTTGTTGCTCATGTCTGTTCTGGTTCGAACCTCTCAGGTCGTATTGCCTTCTATGACGAGTACGGAGTGATCAGAGATGTCCTGCAGAACCACCTGACTGAGGTCATGACACTGCTGACCATGGAGCTCCCTGTGAATGTGAGCAACAGTGGAGAGGTTCTTCGAAACAAGCTGGAGGTCCTCCATTCCATGCTGCCTTTAGGAAAGAATCAAGCTGTGATCGGACAGTACCAAACCTACAAAACAGAGGTTCAGCAGGAGCTGAACAAAACTAAAGAGCATGTAACTTTGACTCCAACGTTTGCAGGTGAACAAAGAACTTTCTTTCTTTGCTTTCCTACAGTGCCCAGTTGAAGTCTTAATACTTTGGTTTTGTTACAGCCACACACTTTACTATATAATTCTGGCATTCAGTGTGATAACGCAAACACAAAAATTATACATAGTAATACATGGAGTAGGAAAGTATTGTTTTTGTCTAACAAGAAATTGAAAAGTGGGTTTACTCCTTTAACAAAATGACTCAAACTCAGTCAGATTGGATAGAAACGGCTTATGAAAATGAGCTTTTGAGCCCAGGTTTTCAGACTTGAAGCCCAGATTTAGGCCTGCACTTTGACTGGGTCACTTTGCTGCATCAAAATAGTTCGATCTAAACCATTCTATCTGTCGGGGTCATTGTCCGCGAGGTGAAACTGCTCCATTTTGTGCAGGTTCACCAAACTTCTTCTAGGAATTAACCTAATTTAGCTTCATCTATTGGCAGCTTTCCTTTTTATGACAGATGGTTAAAGTTTATTACTTCTTATACATGTAGGAATCAGGAGGCTAACATATTGAATTCTGGTCTCCAACACTTTTTTTCTTTCCCCAGCTCTGTATATACCGTGTGACAGATTTCAAACAGGACTTTTGCAGGATGAACAGCTATTCTTACAGGTCTATAGGCCATTAAAGAACAGCTGGGTTTATATTAAAAACTAACCAATCTAATAAAATACATGAACTTTACTTTTACTATACTGTATTGTTTGTACTGTTTAGTTAGTAAATCTACATTTTGACTGTCTTACAGCTGTTCTGGCCCATATCGACAAGGCGCAGTATGAAGACGTTCCGGTTCTTCTGATCTCCGGGAAGATGTTAGACGAACGTGTAGGGTACGCACGTGTCGTTTTTAAGAACGACGTCTTTTGCCTTCAGAGCCAGAACGATGATCACTGCAAACCCAAACAGATCGTTTTCTACTTTGGGCACGGCTGTCTTAAATATCCAGCAGTTCTGGTCAGCAAGAATTTATTCAAGCCTTTGATAGTAGGTGAATGGAAGGAAGTCACAGAGCACAAAGATATCAGTGTTTTGGGCCTGCAGATTTCCGATTATTACATCCAAACCCCAACAACAGAAAAGGAAGCTTACACTGAGCTCATTTCTCATATTTTTGCTGGGCAGAAGAATAATTTTATCAGTACTGAAAACCTGTTGGCCTCCTGGGAAGTATGGACTCCACTTCTCAGCAGCCTTAAGGGATCTTTCCCTCGGATCTACCCTGGTGGCGCTGACAATGGAGGCATGCTGGACGTCCATCTGAGGGGGAAAGAAATCCACTATAACAGTGAGGTGGTGATCATTAGTCCCGATCAGACGGGAGGGACATCAGCCAGCAATTTCCAGGTGATGCAGGGGAAATTTCGCAGTGCTGAGATGGTGTCTGCCTGGACGGAGGAGCTGGTAGAGAGGCTGGCTGCAGATATGCAGGAAGCAGCTGAGAAGGCCGTGCAGGAGAACGGGGTCTTCCATCTCGCCCTCTCTGGAGGCTCCAGTCCTCTCGCCCTGTTTCACAGGTTGGTTCTGCACCATTTCTCCTTCCCCTGGAGAGATACGCACATCTGGATGGTGGATGAGCGCTGTGTTCCACCGACTGAGATGGAGTCTAACTTCTACAACATGCATAAACACCTCCTGCACTACGTGAAGATACCATACTACAACATCCACCCCATGCCAGTGCAGCTCAACCAGCGCCTCTGTGTGGAGGAGGATGGAGGAGCTCAGCTGTATGAGAAGGAGATCAAAAAACTTGTTAACGGATCCAGCTTTCACTTCGTCCTGCTGGGCGTCGGATACGATGGCCACACGGCCTCACTGTTCCCTGGTGGGAAACTGAACGAGCTGGGAGAGGGGCTGGTCGCTCTCACAGAAAGCCCCGTCAAGCCTCATCAGAGGATGAGCCTCACCTTTAGCGCCATTAACCGAGCACGCAGCATCGCTGTTTTAGTGATGGGAAAAGGCAAACATGAGCTGGTCACCCAGCTGAGCCGGGTTCAGGAAAACTTGGAAAAATATCCGGTCACTGGAGTGAAGCCAGCTAATGGAAGGCTAGTTTGGTATATAGACTATGATGCACTTTTAGGGTAGGCGGTTCAATTTCATTCAGAGAATTAAGCTGCTTTTGGTTGGGGAGCAAAATGAATGAACCAGCAGAGAGACTTCAGGTTCTTGCTTTAATTACATTGAATAAACATTTCCTTACTTGCTACCTAAGTTTATCACTAAACTGTTCCCGTCAGAAGTTTATATACACTCATCTCTGGTATGATGGTATCAGTTTCAAATTTAAGTTCTTTATTTGAACGATACATTTTTGAGTCAGGCAATAGAAAGTGCAGCTATAAAGATCACAAATATTAGGTTGAATCTTTTGGGGATTTTTTTCCAGCCCTTTTAACTGTGACAACATTTTTTTACATTACCACTATATCGTTTGAAAAAATATGAGTTGGAGAGTTTGCAGACCTCCTGTAGCCCTGAGAATAGCTCTGCTATGGGCTTTAAGCCTATTTATTTCTTAATTTTGTTGCTTGTCATCATTTAAGTCAAAGTCATTCAAGAAGCCTGTTGGCATAATCAATTCCAAAACCACTTTTAATGTCTTCCTGATGTCTCTGTCCTGTTGAAACATCCAATTATGTCAACATAATAACCATTTAGTTGCCCCTCAGCATGATTCCATCACCACCATGCCTGACAGCTGCTTCAGTGTTCTTCATCACACATTCCTCTTGTTTTATGAAAGAATACTCACCCTTGTCTCGTTGGACCATAACGTTTTATTACAGAATTTGGGCAGCTGCATATTTCCGCTTCTGAAGGTTTCTGCTTGGAGCGGGTCTTTCCTTCTTCGTTGCCAGGTCCTCGGACCATGTTGATTTGAAACTCTGAACAGTGACCCTGGTGCCCCAGCATCTTATAGTTTATCTTAAGATTGAGTTTTGGTAGTTAATGGATTGTTTCCTGGGTTTTCCGACCTTTCCGATTGGTTTAATAATCTTCTCTTGCTACATGTTTGCATTTTGTAGAGCTCCTGAACCAAAAGGGCCTTTTGAGAACTCATCAAATTTTATCACTGCCTCCTGTATGACCAATTCTTTTTCTTTAAGTTAAATCACATTACAATTATTCAACCAAATTGATGTTTAAGACTTAAGATTTTTACAAGATGATGGATATTTTCCATGTAGGAAATGTCCCATTATTATGGAAAATGCAGGAACATAGTTTGCCTTATGACAAATGAAGGACTGAACAAGAGAAAGAATCTCTTTATTATAGCACCATTCTGCTGTGCACATTTAGGCAAAACATAGAAACCGATGCTAGAACCTTAGACCCAGTTACCCATTTAATCCCTTTTGGCCCAGTCTGTAAAGAGAAACTGCGGATGCCTATTCCATCCACTAAGCTGTAGTGTGCAGACCCTTGGGCTGGAGATGTTCCAACAGAACAACATTGCACATTAAAAAGCTGTTTGGAATGGATCAAAGGAGCTAGCTTCAGTCAGGACATTAACCTCTACCCTATTAGGCTTTCTTTAAGTTTGGGCCACGCCACCGTGGAACAAGAATCTTTAAAATTGAATTATGTCTTTTCCCATGTTGGGTATACGTAAACATCTGACCTGCCCTGGTCTTTAGATCAGTTTAAAGTCTCCTCAAGGTTCCCTGTTTAATGGGTCCATGTGTTTGTACGAAAACTGGGACACTAGGATACCCCTGAGGCAAATATTTCCACTTCAAGAACTGAAGTTTAATGATAAACCAAACCTTTAAAGCACAAACTAGTCTGAGCTTTTGCAGTTTAATGAGTAAAAGCAGGATCCTTTTCTATCAAAAGAAACTTTATGTGGAATCTGTGTGAGTGAATTGAATATAGTTTTAGCCTTTTAAGTTTTGTTTAAGTGTGAGCTGAGTGGAAATGTTGAAAGATTAGAGGCATCCATGTCTCTAGTTCATAGTATAAAGTTTGCAGCATGTGATGCCGTGAAATTTAGAGCTCTGAGCCAAACAAACACAGGAATGATTAAGTTTAGACAGAATCAATGTGTTTGATAGTTTAAATTAAAGAACATCTCAGGTTTCTGTGTAATCTGCAGTTCTAGATTATACATTTATTATTTGGTGGTGGGGTTTCTATTTTTATATAGATTCGGTGTGATGAAGGCTAGTGGTGCTGTAGAGACTTTGAGATAAGACATTCCTATCAGATTATTTCTGTGCAATCTGAAGGTGAGTTTATTTTTTTAATTCACCATTTCAGGACAGAACTGATTGTTTCAATAAAAAATAAAGATGACCTTGAATGTTGTATTATACTGTATTCCTGCTCTGATCTTTTTTAAATTAACATATATCGGTTGTATTTAATGTCAGGGTGTTGCATCCATGACAGATACTAAAACACATAAAAGATTAAAAAAATAAAGCATTATTTTCAGCAGTACTTCAGTGTGTAATGAAGTCTTTTTCATGCGCATTAATGCAGAGGTTGCCATTTCATACTATTTCAAAATATGTCCCAAGATTTAATTTTCCTTTTTTTTTTTTTTTTTTTACATATTTTCCTTTTAGCTTTGTTCATATTTACCACCAGAACCCAGCCTCCATATTTATTTCTCTAGATTTAAAGAAACAATTCCTCCCTCCCAGTATCCTCACTGTTCTAATTTCCATTGGTCTGATCAGACCGTTTCCTGTTCTTTAATGGACATTCTGCAAATCTAGGTTAAGGAAGCAAAATAAAGTAGCACCTCAAACCATCCACATTCTTAGACAGCTTTCAGCGTTTTATCTAATATCTAACGCAGCTCACTGGGTCACTCTGACTGCATATTAAGGGCAGGTAAGAACCTTAAATGATGAACAAAAGAATCAGAAACATACAGTGTGCCTTTTTAAAGTTTTCTCTTTTTTAGAAAATGTACACACACATGTTCACATGTATTATACATCTGATAGTCATAAAATAAACACTTACTACTAAATAATAATTTCCAAGGGCCCTACATGGTAATAATACATGCAACAATCACAGATAACTGTGCTGAATGTAATTATGTAGACAACCAGGAGGGGGTTTCACGTACAAATGATGCCCAGAGAAATGAACCTATTTCTGTAGCAGTTGGCTCAAATGGTTCAATGCCTCATGGAGCCTCATCTCACCATCACTGCTGACATCTACACTCACTGGCCACTTTATTAGGTACACCTGTCCAACTGCTCGTTAACACTTAATTTCTAAGCAGCCAATCACATGGCGGCAACTCAGTGCATTTAGGCATGTAGACATGGTCAAGACAATCTCCTGCAGTTCAAACCGAGCATCAGTATGGGGAAGAAAGGTGATTTGAGTGACTTTGAACGTGGCATGATTGTTGGTGCCAGAAGGGCTGGTCTGAGTATTTCAGAAACTGCTGATCTACTGGGATTATCACGCACAACCATCTCTAGGGTTTACAGAGAATGGTCTGAAAAAGAAAAAACATCCAGTGAGCGGCAGTTCTGTGGGCGGAAATGCCTTGTTGATGCCAGAGGTCAGAGGAGAATGGCCAGACTGGTTCGAGCTGATAGAAGGGCAACAGTGACTCAAATAACCACCCGTTACAACCAAGGTGGGCAGAAGAGCATCTCTGAACGCACAGTACGTCGAACTTTGAGGCAGATGGGCTACAGCAGCAGAAGACCACACCGGGTGCCACTCCTTTCAGCTAAGAACAGGAAACTGAGGCTACAATTTGCACAAGCTCATCGAAATTGGACAATAGAAGATTGGAAAAACGTTGCCTGGTCTGATGAGTCTCGATTTCTGCTGCGACATTCGGATGGTAGGGTCAGAATTTGGCGTCTACAACATGAAAGCATGGATCCATCCTGCCTTGTATCAACAGTTCAGGCTGGTGGTGGTGGTGTCATGGTGTGGGGAATATTTTCTTGGCACTCTTTGGGCCCCTTGGTACCAATTGAGCATCGTTGCAACGCCACAGCCTACCTGAGTATTGTTGCTGACCATGTCCATCCCTTTATGACCACAATGTACCCAACTTCTGATGGCTACTTTCAGCAGGATAATGCGCCATGTCATAAAGCTGGAATCATCTCAGACTGGTTTCTTGAACATGACAATGAGTTCACTGTACTCAAATGGCCTCCACAGTCACCAGATCTCAATCCAATAGAGCATCTTTGGGATGTGGTGGAACGGGAGATTCGCATCATGGATGTGCAGCTGACAAATCTGCAGCAACTGTGTGATGCCATCATGTCAATATGGACCAAACTCCCTGAGGAATACTTCCAGCACCTTGTTGAATCTATGCCACCAAGAATTGAGGCAGTTCTGAAGGCAAAAGGGGGTCCAACCCGTTACTAGCATGGGGTACCTAATAAAGTGGCCGGTGAGTGTAAACTTCTAATGAGGTCCTCGAGGTCTGGTCTCTGCTTCCACACACCTGAATGAAATAGCTAAATTACCTCCATATCAGTTTTTAATCCTGCTAAAAACTGCATTATTTAACTCTGGTGTGTTGAAACGGAGACGTCTAAGAGTTGCAGGACTCCTGATGTAGAGAACCGTGATGTTCAACTTTAACTCAGGGTTGGTACAGGTGCTGGAAATTCTAAAATATTCTTAAAATTTTACAGAGAGCACTTAAGTTTCAATACACAATTATTTCATTGTATAATACTGTTATCTCTGGATTTAGAGTTTTAAATACGGTATGTTGTTTTTAGCCCTTAAATGTGCATTTCCATGTATAAATATCTTTAATTCCGAGATTCAAAAATAAACTTTGCTCAAATAGACTTTTTAAAGACCAATGCAAATGTATCTGATTTTTTTAATTAAACAAAACATTTGATTTATTAAAAGTCTCAAAACATCAAAATTCTTATTTGAAACAGGATGTTAAATTAACCATTTTAACCTTTTTTTTAACCTTTTTTGTACAAACTTAATGTGTTTTAAACACAAGTTTGTGGTAAAAGCTTTGAAATAAAACCTTTATTACACTCTAAGCCAAAAATTACTGTGTTTTAATATTGGAAACATTTTACAGCATTTTTATCTGTTTACTACACATGTATTCATTGGACAACAAGTTGCATAGTTTTTTACCAATCACCACATCTGTTTTTTTCTGCGGTTAGTCTTAAAACTAGAGTTTCATTTTCTCCCTCACACTACTTTCCTTTGTTCATGGTGTTAAGTTACCATCTGCTGGTGGCCCGGATCCCTCATGAATTCTTTAAAACACACTGTATCCGATGTCACTGTGGGGACAGCTGGACCTGTTTTATCACCCGTCGTTTCTACTTGTCCCACATCACTGCCTGCCTGTTGGTTAACCACAGTCCTGATCTCACCATGAAGAACCCTAAACAGACACAAACAGGTGTCAGCCCACTCGAGAGGTGGAATAAAACCGTAAGCGTTTGGACAAAAACGTTCCTCACCTGTGCTGATTGCTGAAGCCACTGTTAGAGCAACAGAGAGGTAGTACAGCTCTGTGGTAGTGTTGGCCTGTCAGTATGAACACAGTTCTTTTTAATACCGAGTTTAGACTTTTTCCTTCTATGGTTTTTTGTCTTACACAAGCAGCTGCTGTGAGAGTCAGGACGGTGGTGCACAGTCCATGCCCGCATGACAAAAGTCCAAACACATGATAGGCAGCCCACAAGCCCTGAGGAACTGGATCTAGTAAAGTGAATACCACTGAAAGACCTAAGGACAGAGAAAAAGGATTAACTTACTGATATTTTAACTATACATGCGTGATGGGACTCACCTGAAGCAATGATGGACAGGGCTACAGAGGCTGACAGGTTGTTCAGAAGAGGCTGCCTGCAGTATCTTGATGATTTTGGCCTTTAATCACACCAATAAAAAAATAAAACACTTAATGAAGTGTGACTTTATACAATGGTTTTCTATTCAGGTTACCTCCCCATGATGTAGATTTGAGGGGTCAGAACCACCACCACGAACACTGCATTCACTATTTGACTGTAAATAAGAATTACACATCAGCAGTCACGCATGATCGGTTAAATTATCTCGCTCTAAGAAAAGTACTTACAATTTCAGCCTCTTATTTAGTGGCATCCATCGGCTGCTTTTGTAGGCCATGAAGATCAGCATGTAAAGAAACATCGATGCTGCACATTCAGACCAGCGTGTGTAGAAACACTGCCCTGCTGGATACCTGCGCTCTGAGGCATTAGGTTAGCTATCACTAGTGTTACATCACAGTCAATAGCAACTGACTCAATTTTTATTAACTAGTTTTACTATGATTTATGCTAATTGTATATATAATTAGACATAATGATGATGTGAAAAGGTACGCAACATAAGAGTCCGAATTATTTTTGTTTCAACAGTAGTGAAGGATTTCCAGGCCTGTTTAAAACTCAGCTTTATTTATCTCGAAAATGTGACTAGGCCACTCTAAAGCCCTCCTTTTTTTCAGCTGTTTAGATCATTAGAGTTCCAAACACAGGATGGTTTTATCTTAAAGGTCAGAAATAGACATTCATATTTGCATCAATAGTCAATTACAACCAAGTCATCTAGGTCTCTAAGCCTCAGAAGACAACATCATTGGCTTACTTTTATTTACAAGGCCATCCTGGGTAAACTCCCTCCATACCTGTGTCACCTCATGTCTGTAGCTAACAGTGGTTACAACTCACGCTCTTCAAGTCGTGTTCTTTACACTATTCCCAGGATCAACACAGATCTTGGCAAAACATAATTTTTCTATGGAGCACCATGGTCGTGGCACAATATTCAAAACTCCCTGCAATTACGCCACAACATTTTAAATCACTATTAAAAACCGCTTGCACAGAGAATTGTAACTGTTATTCTAGAGTCTAGTTTATGATTGATTTTATTATGTTGTTTTTATATGTTTTTATATGTCTTACTGTACTGCTGCCTCTTGGCCAGGTCTCCCTCGAAAAAGAGATTTTATCTCAAGGGACTTCCTGGTAAAACAAACGTTAAATAAAAAAAATAAATAAAAAATTAGCAAATCAGCATCACTCTATTTACTGACCTGAATTAAAGGTATAGTGTGGGATTTTTGCAATTTTTTTGAAAAGACATGCCCTTTCCACTTTTACAAAAATGCACATGCACAACTCTGTACCCGCTCCCGAGAGGGAACATCTATGAAACAGGTGCAAGAGCAAGCATGAACCCATTTCTCCTCGGCACGCTCCATTCAAAAGTTGCTCTTTACATCGTTTGTACAAGCTTACTTTCCCAAAGGTTTGCAATTTTTCCACTATGTCAGACTCACCACCAGTAATGGAAAATGGGGATGCGCACGTAGGACAGCCTTATGTAAACATATCACCAGAATGATTGACAGTTAGGAGGACCACTTGCTTTGATGATCCCCCTGAAAAAAGAACATCCTCCACTATATTAAGCAAGT